GTGTGGATGATAAAGTGAAGGTGTAAACTAACCACAGACACAGGAGGTCAGGTTGATGAGCAGCAGGATGATGCACATCATCTTCTCCCTGTGAGAGGAGACAGAGGTGAAGAGTCACAAACACATGAGATCAAAGTTCACTTATTACAGGTGACACAGAGACAATCTACAGTCTGTCTTTAGTCAGTCATCACAACACTGGACTGTTTCTGGTCACATGTGAAACATTAACATATACCTTTATGTCAATATGATTTTAGCATTTTCTTTTTAATAAATGTGCAATGCCATTTACATTATGGGGTGCTGAGTGGAGATTAATGAGGAAACAAGGCTGCAACATATCAAAATGAGAGAATGAACTGTGAGTTACTCAGTAACAACATCCTACCTGTGTTTGTGTTTGTGTCAGGTGTCTGTTTGCTCTTGTCTGGAACCATGAACTCCTCCCCAGTCTAAGTGAGGACACAGTTTTCCTGCTGGACAACTTCCTGGGTGCATCTCATCAGTCAGACACTGAGCTGGAAATGAAACACAGTTGTTTACATATTCTCGTACTTATTTTTCTAAAGATGCTTCAGCTGACTTTCCATAAATACCAAAAACACCACATGTATTTCACTGGTTAGCATCATCAGTACAAACAGTGTTGATGTTGATGGTATTCAGAGGCCTGTACTACGAAGCCAGTTCACCTTACCCAGGATATCTGGTTTGACTAACTAACATTGCCTGTCTGGATAACTGGTAACACAAAGCTGGTTTTCAACCAGGTTCAGTCAACTCTGGGTTTTCCTATCCAGCCACGAGCACGTTTATGAGCGACATCATCAGAACCATGAATGAAGGAGGCTGCTTCATATGAGATCTGATGAAATGGTAGCAGAAGTGTCTGCGACTACGTGACAGTAAGGTTGAACCTTCCAGGGCCAGGTGTTGTTTCTGGGAGTTTAGGAATTAAAAGTTGACACATTAGACTTCATAAGGCTGATTGTGATATTTGCACACTCACTTTGTCTGTTTAAAGTTCTTGATATGAAGTGTATAGATGAGGTGATTCAATGTGAACATGTGGTCGCTACAGTAATAATGTAGAAAAGCTTTAGTGTTGTCTCGAGCCACAGTTTGAGGATCCATAAACACTTTAATAGTCTGGGTTGATAGGGTGACATCAGCTAAATTGGGCCATCAAGTAAAATGGGCCATTTAAGGTTTGAGTGTCTCAGCTCTTTAAAAGTTAACAGCCAATGAATGCAAATGATTTCAAACTGTTGCTGCAACAATACTTGACATGTAACAATTGATTTGATTGGTCTATGGTAAATGTACATATATAAATAATGATGTATAATACATGTCCTGATGGCCTCCATCAGATATCATGCTAATGTTTTGCTAAATAAAATTAGTTTTGATGAAAAAACATTTTTTGTTAGTGGCCCAATTTACCTTAATATGTTCAGGTAAATAGGGCCACACATTTCAGCTAAAATGAGCCACGTTCTGAGTTAGCAAATATTTTGATGGTTCCTCTTATTAAAAAGTATTAATATATACATATACAGTACAGGCCAAAAGTTTGGACACACCTTCTCATTCAATGCGTTTTCTTTATTTTCATGACTATTTACATTGTAGATTCTCACTGAAGGCATCAAAACTATGAATGAACACATGTGGAGTTATGTACTTAACAAAAAAAGGTGAAATAACTGAAAACATGTTTTATATTCTAGTTTCTTCAAAATAGCCACCCTTTGCTCTGATTACTGCTTTGCACACTCTTGGCATTCTCTCCATGAGCTTCAAGAGGTAGTCACCTGAAATGGTTTTCCAACAGTCTTGAAGGAGTTCCCAGAGGTGTTTAGCACTTGTTGGCCCCTTTGCCTTCACTCTGCGGTCCAGCTCACCCCAAACCATCTCGATTGGGTTCAGGTCCGGTGACTGTGGAGGCCAGGTCATCTGCCGCAGCACTCCATCACTCTCCTTCTTGGTCAAATAGCCCTTACACAGCCTGGAGGTGTGTTTGGGGTCATTGTCCTGTTGAAAAATAAATGATCGTCCAACTAAACGCAAACCGGATGGGATGGCATGTCGCTGCAGGATGCTGTGGTAGCCATGCTGGTTCAGTGTGCCTTCAATTTTGAATAAATCCCCAACAGTGTCACCAGCAAAACACCCCCACACCATCACACCTCCTCCTCCATGCTTCACAGTGGGAACCAGGCATGTGGAATCCATCCGTTCACCTTTTCTGCGTCTCACAAAGACACGGCGGTTGGAACCAAAGATCTCAAATTTGGACTCATCAGACCAAAGCACAGATTTCCACTGGTCTAATGTCCATTCCTTGTGTTTCTTGGCCCAAACAAATCTCTTCTGCTTGTTGCCTCTCCTTAGCAGTGGTTTCCTAGCAGCTATTTGACCATGAAGGCCTGATTGGCGCAGTCTCCTCTTAACAGTTGTTCTAGAGATGGGTCTGCTGCTAGAACTCTGTGTGGCATTCATCTGGTCTCTGATCTGAGCTGCTGTTAACTTGCGATTTCTGAGGCTGGTGACTCGGATGAACTTATCCTCAGAAGCAGAGGTGACTCTTGGTCTTCCTTTCCTGGGTCGGTCCTCATGTGTGCCAGTTTCGTTGTAGCGCTTGATGGTTTTTGCGACTCCACTTGGGGACACATTTAAAGTTTTTGCAATTTTCCGGACTGACTGACCTTCATTTCTTAAAGTAATGATGGCCACTCGTTTTTCTTTAGTTAGCTGATTGGTTCTTGCCATAATATGAATTTTAACAGTTGTCCAATAGGGCTGTCGGCTGTGTATTAACCTGACTTCTGCACAACACAACTGATGGTCCCAACCCCATTGATAAAGCAAGAAATTCCACTAATTAACCCTGATAAGGCACACCTGTGAAGTGGAAACCATTTCAGGTGACTACCTCTTGAAGCTCATGGAGAGAATGCCAAGAGTGTGCAAAGCAGTAATCAGAGCAAAGGGTGGCTATTTTGAAGAAACTAGAATATAAAACATGTTTTCAGTTATTTCACCTTTTTTTGTTAAGTACATAACTCCACATGTGTTCATTCATAGTTTTGATGCCTTCAGTGAGAATCTACAATGTAAATAGTCATGAAAATAAAGAAAACGCATTGAATGAGAAGGTGTGTCCAAACTTTTGGCCTGTACTGTATATATATATTATATTATTGTATATTACAGGCCTCTTAACATTTTCCTTTGTAATTATGTATATGTGTGTGTGTTAGCTCTGGTCCAGGGCGCATCGTGAGCTAGCTCTCACTAGCTAGCGCTCAGTCACACACACACACACACACACACACACACGAGAAAGGGAAAGGTGAAAGAGGCATGTATTGTAGCCTAAAACTGATAGTGGAAGATGGTTAAGTAAAGTAACATGAAACTATAATTACAGTATGGCAAACAAGAAGGAACAGAGAGGAACAGAGAGGAAGAGAAAGGAAGAGAGGGAAAGGAGATGAGGAGAAAGGAAGAGAGAGGACCTGAAGCCTGATCTTTATATTATTACTATATTAATGTTATTTTTCATGAATTTTTTAAAGCATTTAATGTATTTAATGTAATGTTCTATTGTGTTGTGTGTGTTGATATTAAAGATAATCTGATTATATTATGAAAAATGACTGTTTCACTTTGCAGTTTGAGTGGCCCATTTTACCAGAACACCGCACATCTCAAAAATGGGGGACAGCTGATGTTTCAACAGCTGTAGGGTCTTAACAATTATATTTTATTACATAAATTCAACACAATATTAAAAACAGTCATTATTAATTATCGGAGCACAATCAAATGTCGTACATTGTTTTTTCTTAGCTTCCCAAGTGATTAACCAAAAAGTGGCCCAATTTAGCTGATATCACCCTACAAATACTGCTGCAATACTTCCTCTGTTGCGCACTTTACAAAAACTTCCCCTCTCTCTCTCTCTGTGAGGAAACCACAGCAACTCATTTTACAACCACCCAAACTCTTCTTGACAAGAAAGTTTCACAACTTCAAATCAAAAGAGTTGAATAAAGAAGAGAAGATGAAACTTTGGGTCTGAAGCACAGCTGATGGACACAATTAAAACAACACAAATGGTGTATTATACAAAATGTTTTAGTTACTTACGTGTTTGAAGAGGAGCGAGTAGCTGTCACCTTGATTGTTTAACGGTAGGTCAAACAAAGGAAGATGTTTCTCTCATCTCAGCAACGCTGTACATGATGAGGAAGTCAGTGTTTCCCTTCAGCAGCTCAGTTCAGGTTGAGGAGGGGCTGCGTGCAAAGCACAGATGCATCATCTGGGTGTGGTTAAAAAGTTAACACAGGGTAAAATGAAGGATGTTAACATCCGTTACACGGCAGCACATGCCAGAACAGGGGAGACCAGGGATGGTTGTTACACTTCACTCTGTGTGAATTGCTCACCATCATAACGTCTTTCAACAGTTGTTCCTACATTAAATGAACTCTGTAAGGTCTTGGCTTGAAATTGGTATCCCTTTCATTTTTACGCCTGAATGTAACAAGACGTTATTACCCATCAGACACTCTGACATGGGGTTGGTTGTCCCTACAGTTATCAATGGGGTTTCAGGGGGAATATAACCTTTTAGGGTTTTTTTTTTTAAGATAAAAACACCAAATAAGTTTTGAATTGAATGCCACCTCTATCATAGCACTCATCAGTGCCCCTTCTGTTTATACCATGGCTGATTAGGGACACTGGGGACAGGTGAGCAGGTGAGGAAGAGACAGGGGACTGATGGAAAAGACTGAGGGCATCTGGTGGATGGATGCTATCTGTTGCATTATGGGAAATGTAGGATCTGGAAATAACAGAGTTTTACCCACATTAGAGAGAAAAGTCAGGATATCTCGATCTCTGCTGTTTTGTTTTTGACCCGTCTGTTTTACATCTGTCTCCTGGAAGTTCCCTTTTTACAATTTATAACATCAATAACACCTGTAGATGTTGACAGAGGGTTAAACAAGCCTGGTTACACTGGTATTATCAGTCCTGGGTGATCCAGTCACAGCTCTATGTCTGTTTATTCAGACCTGGTATGAGAATGTGGCAACATGCGTGACTCAGTGACCTCTTGTGATCAGATCTCACTTTACTGCTCCATATGCT